GTTCGCGAAGGTCCTCTCGCGAACGCGAAGAGTAAACTGATGAGGCAGGGATTTCTTCTTCGTGAACGCGAAGGCTTGGTCGCGAACGCGAAACGATGGGGGAGTTACCCTTCGCGAACGCGTAGTGTTAGGCATTGGGGAGGGGGAGTCAGTCGTTCCTTCATTGCGAACGCGAGCAATGTCTCGCGAACGTGAAGGCCAGGGGGGAGTAACCATCGCGAACGCGAGCTAGGTCTCGCGAACGCGAAGGCTTGGCAGCCAATACCCTTCGCGAACGCGACAATGCTCTCGCGAACGCGATGAACACTGTCGCCCAACACTTAACATAATCCAAAAACTGAATTTTAGCTAAAAATTCATTTTCTCAAAAACCAAATGGTGAGAGGCGATTTTCCAAAGACCAATTCTTCCCCAAATCATAGGTAAGTGATTCCTAACTCTTTTCTTTCAATCTTTTACAACTTATAACGAGATTTCAACCTAGAATCTAGAGTTTTCATGGTAGAATTAGGGGTTAGGGTAGAAACTAGGGATTTCGGGAATTTGAGGATTTAGATCTCAATTTGAAGTTGGATTCCAAAACTAATTACATATTCGGGATCGGGGGTGAATGGGTAAAAGGATTTTGGTCCGAACCTCGGGTTTTGACCAAGCGGGCCCTGGGTCGATTTTTTAATTTTTTGGAAGAAAAATTTGGGGAATTTAATTTATGCAATATAATTGATTTATTAAGAAATATTTGATATTATTGAGTCATTTTTGAATAGATAAGAGTGGTTTGGAGGTGAATTCCAAAGGAAAAGTTGTGATTGAGAATTAAGTGGCCTTCAGAGCGAGGTAAGTATTGTGTCTAACTTTGGCTTGAGGGAATAAGTATTGTGTGAGTAATTGCTATGTGTTTTGTTGTTGAATACGATGTATAGTTGAGGTGGCGAGCATCTATGCATTGTGATCGAGTCATAGCATGCGAGTGAAATTCCATTTTTACAAATTTGTAGTATTAAATCTTGTTATCCATGCTTATTGTTGTTGTTGAAATGTTGGGAGACTTGTATCCGGTTCCACCAAGGTCGATAAAATTGTGAATATTGATTCGAGGTTGAGATATTAAATTGTGAAGGTAATCATTGATGAAATATTGATTTCTTTGTGAAACTTCTCTCTATCCGTTGTTATTGATTCTGTGAATTGTGAGGAAGAGTGTAAAGCACGAAGGGTGATGCCGTGTATATTATGAGAGGTTTAAAGCACAAAGTGTGATGCCATGTATATTATGAGAGGTTTAATGCACGAAGGGTGATGTCGTGCTGTTCTATTTATTTATTTGGTGAGGTTGAGAGTAAAAGCACGAAGGGTGATGCCGTGCAGTTTTCCTTGTTATTTTAATTGATCAATTCGTTTAAGGATTTTCGGTTTAATTCTGTCTTTTCATTATTCTCACTCTTTATGTTGTATTCCCCCACTGTATGTTCCCTTCCCGTTATTTTTGCGTTATTTCTTTATTTACTGTTGTTGCCACTAGCATGATTATACTGTTCAGGTTATATGTGGGTGTCTTGTCCTAGCCTCGTCACTACTTCGCCGAGGTTAGGCTCGACACTTACCAGTACATGGGGTCGGTTGTACTGATGCTGCACTCTGCACTTTATGTGCAGACTTTGATACTGGTTCGGGTTGATCGAGTTTTTGCTATTAGTCCGTTGTCCGAAGACTCAAGGTAGATCTGTCGGCGTTCACAGACCTTTGAGTCCCCGCCTATCTTTTCTGTTATACTGTTTCTTTCATTCAGACAGTTGTATTTCTTTCAGATTATTATTTGTAGTAAATTCTAGAATGCTCGTGAATTGTGACTCCAGATCCGGGTGGTAGTAATTAATATAGTTTTATGATATTCCGCACTTATTATATTTCATCGAAGTTAATTATTGTTAATTAGTGAATGGAAATAAGGAATTGGTTAATGATTCTCTAACGTTGGCTTGCCTAGCAAGTGAAATGTTAGGCACCATCACGGTCCCATCAGTGGAAAATTTCGGGTCGTGACACTTAAATGACAATACCTGTAGAATTTAAATTGCTTAAAGCATATAGAATTCTTGGTCATGAAGTACTACCCCCTAAGTGCAATTTGTGCACATTTATATCTTGCTATAACTATAAGCATGATAATACGATAGTAAGAGTCTTTACCCCTATGTGAAGATATTGAAATGACGATTCCAACAAGATCACATGAAGGCAATACATCTTTATCAAAAATGATGATTTCAGGGTGCAACATCTTCGTTCAAGTTAATATGGATGATTTGTTTATCAAATCTATACCAACAATTTTTTGAAGATGGTCCACAAGATTGGAATGCAAAGACTCAAATATCTGAATTGATGTTCTCATTAGGGGGAGTTAATAAACGTTGTACTCTTTTTCCCTTACAAGGTTTTGTCCCACTGGGTTTTCCTTGCAAGGTTTTTAACGAGGCAGCCAAAAGGCATACTGTTAGATATGTGTACTCCTTTTCCTTCATTAGAATTTTTTTTCACTGGGTTTATTTTAGTTAAGGTTTTAACGAGACACATTATCTGTTGAATATATTCAAAGGGGAGTGTTATAAATATAATTATATTTAAGGTGGATGTCTATATTTTAAAGATATTTTAGGGCTTGTTACTTGGTGACTAAGTCACTTTTTTCCTATAAATAGAGGGGTCCTATTCCATTGTAATTCATCCCAAATCAATAAGAATTCTCTCTTTTCTACTTTTCTTCGCAATATTCTTCTTCTTATTTTATTATTTTATAACATTATATATTTTGTATAAAACATACAAAAAGTAGACTAAAAATATATATATATTGGCTATTATTTTGAGGAAAATTTTACCTCCTATAGCAAAGCTTTACACCTTGTTTACTATAAATAAATACCCTTTTAAAATATTATTTTATATAGCTACCTTTTAGTTTTTATAATAAAATATGTATTTATAGTCACCTCCTACCGTTAATCCATTAAATACGTTGTCTAATATTTTTCTCTTTACTACTTTCTATTATTTCTCTCACAAGATCACCGTATAGTATCAACTTCTCTCTCCACTATCTCTCTCTCACAATGCCAGTCTCTTCCCCATTATATATCCACGATTCTCCACTGATTCATCTCCATTGTCTATCTCAATTTTCAATATTTTTTGCTCCAAAAAGTTGTGGTAAGTGTTAAAGTTGTGAGATTTTTGGTACTGTGCTTCTTCTGTTTCTCTTTACTAATTTTTTTTATAAATAATCAACAATGTTATGCTTTCACCAGAATACTCGAAATTGCATCTCCAATTACTGATTCAACAACTCAGAAGAGGGTTACCCGAGGTATACCCACCAAAGCACTCAATTTTGAAGGGTTGCAAACCACTCTAGTGGAACGTGTATTTGCAGGTTCAGCAGCAAATACATACAACATAATACAATTGGCTTGAGAATACCGATGAAAACACTTAGTTGGAATGCATAACTAAAACTAGAACAACTAGTGTATTTTAAAAAGTTGTTGAATGAAATAAAATACATCTAAAATACAACAGTCAAAAGTCAATGTAATAAGTATAATTGAGTTTGTTGAGTTATATTAGGAGTCTATCACGTTAATTGATTCACTTACTATTTTTAAACAGTTGGAGAGACCTTTTTTTTCGCAGAATTCCGTTACTGTATTCACGAATACAGCTCGCGAATACATATGAATACAGTCTATGTTAGCTGGGCTTCCCTATTTTTCGCCGAGTTTTGCTATTGTATTCATGAATACAATAGCTTGAATACATCGAATACACTCTATAATAAGTGAAAAGATAGCTATAGGAAGTAATTAAGTAAATGGTAGCTATAGCAAGTTAATAGCCACTAAACAATAGTGGTTTCTGAAAATTATTGAGAGCAACTATACAATATCATTTTTCTATCTTTTTATGGACTTGTAGCTTCTCAAAGGCCCACGTGTGGGCCCAGCACTTGACAAAGTTTGTTTTTGATTTGCGATCTTATGAGTTCGAATCCGATGATCTCCTATCCATTGCTAATCTAGTTTTGATCTGGCCATTAAGAAGATAAGATTCATTAGCCCACACATAAAAAATATAAACAAATTTTACAAAAATAGCCTCTCAAATTCATTATTTTCTTTTTCTAGTAGGTATATATAAATTATATACTGATTGTATATGATTATATATATATATTTGCCAATTATTTTAGTTTAAACTGTTGGATAGATGAGTAGTTATTCAGGTTTTACATCTAGAGATAAACTTTTTTTTCTTTTCATTTTTTTTTCTTGCTTAAGTTTGAGAAACAAGTAGTATAAATATGGTATATATACCCTTTTTGTTTGTCCAAATGCAACTACCTTAAAGTGTTCGCTATATATATAATTGACATCACAAGTTACAGATTACAAGCTCTTTAATAAAAAAATAAAAACCTAAGTGATACTTACTGATAATACAAAGATTGTTTAACACTATTAGTTGCATGTTCACGTATTATAGGAAGATTGCTTTTTATTTCTTAACGTTACAAATTGATATTTGTATAACAAATTATATATGTTTATCTTTTAAGTGATTTGATGGTATAATATTATTTATATTAGGGAGAGTAGTTTATGCGCAGACTTTATCTCTATCCTAGAAAAAAAAGGCTATTTCCGATAGAAACTTGGCTCGCTATACCTCGGTACCTCCGAGAACTCTCCACCTTCCTCTTGGGATGACTCGAACTCATAACTTTTTGATTGGAAGTGAATATTGTTCACCACTAAAGCAACTCACTCTTGTCGATGATGCATCCAATTTATAGTCAATACGTATTTTGTTTAAAAGCTCCGTGTCGCAATAAAACAGATTTGGGTATAAAATAGCGGAAAATACCAGTTGAATAAACTTTCCTTTTTAAAGAAAAAGAAACTGAGTAAACGGCTTGTATAAGAAAGAGGCCCACCATAAATAGTCAAAGTATTCAAAGGAAACAAAGAACCAAATCTTAATTCTTAGAGACTAAGCAAACCTTCACATCACATCCCCAAAAATTAAGTTATCGAAAAAGGGAAGTGATGCCGGAGCCGGGATCACGGTGGTGGACGGTGCCGGAGATGGTCGGAATTCTGTCAAACAAGATCCAAAAGGATGAACTCAAGCCAGGAGATCACATTTATTCATGGCGAAACGCGTACCTCTACGCTCATCACGGTCGCTTTCCTCATTTTTTCGCTTTCTACATTTACCGAAATGTCCTTTTTTTGTGCTTTACTCTTGCCGAAATATCCTTTTGATTTTTGTTTGCATCTACATTTTGTTCCTTATACAAGTATGTGAAATTTTGGATTTGATTATGCTTTTTGTTCATTTTACATGTACTAATTTGCTTGAGTAATTATGATACATTAGGAAAACTAAAACTAGGGAGGAACTTTTTTAATCTTTTAGAAAGTGTTAAATTGGGTTAGTAAAATCTTGGAGTCTGCCCATTGGATGAAATGTTGATGAACTGATTAATGTTTGTGCCTTTCCTTGAACATAATCAGAAAGTACATTTAGGAGCTTAAGAAAATTTATTAATAAACGAGACAATTTGAATTGGTAATTAGCAGGAATATCAGAAGTGGATTTACTTATATATTTGCTAGTAGTTATGACCAGAAGGCTGAGTATGACCAATTTATGTAAAAAAGAAGGCTTGAGATTTGATGTAGAGGTGGGATTTTTAGCTCCAACCTTCTCATTTGGGTTTGGCTCTTAAGCCTTTATGCAGCTTTCTATTTGACCATTCATTCGGGTATGTACGAATTATTATGAACTGGATGAGGGACAAAAAGGAAGGGAAGAGGTTATTCCTCTATTTGTTATTTCGTCTAGAATTTCCATCTGATTATTTGTACTATGGACTTTGAGAAATTCTATTTTATGTCATTAAACTATCGTTAGAACAAAGTGGCAGGGGTCACTCTCTTGGAGTGTTTATTTCTCTTATATTAGAGTCGGCCTGCAACTTTGCGGATGCACTCTCACACTAGCATTGTGTTGTGGACTCAATTAACCTCGAGTTGGAAAGATTGCTTTATGAGGTTATATTGCTTAGTGTCAGTCTATTGGTTTACTTTGTAAAAAAAAAAATATTACGGACTTTTTCATCTTTCAAGTACCTGAAAAAAAAAACCCTGCTTTTAGTGTGCAATAAATTTCTTTGTTGTTAATCAATCAGAGAAACATAAGGATGGCTTTAGTCCTGAGGATCTCAAATTCTTTAAGGTTTGTTGTCACCTTACAAGCATCTAAACACTCCAGTCTGGTTTTGTACTATGGACTTTGAGAAATTCTATTTTATGTCGTTAAACTATCGTTAGAACAAAGTGGACAATGTGGCAGGGGTCACTCACTTGGAGTGTTTATTTCTCTTATATTAGAGCCGGCCTGCAACTTTGGGGATGCACTCTCACACTAGCATTGTGTTTTGGAAAATTTCCTGACGCAACTTTTAACTTGGATTTCTGAACATCACCTTAAGGTTTATGCCTCTGTTCTCAGATGATATGTAGTCAAAATTCAGATGATCTTGAGTTGATTAATTACTTGCTGATAGGAAATCATTGCATCAGTATCTGTCAAAAATAAATTAAAAGAAAAGGAAATTATTGCATCAAGTATGATAAGTTAGATCCTTGGAAAATTGTTTTGGCACTAAGAGATCCAAAGCAACATCTAGTTCCTGGGGGTGGGTGAGATTAAGATTCTTTAATGGTGTGAATGACATGCACATTTCTTCTTTTCCTAGCATATTGTCTTAATGTTGCTAGCTGTGCTCTGAACCCTTTCAGGTATATATGTTGGCGATGGTATGGTCATCCATTTCACTCGAGGTGCAGGTCAAGAGGTTGGAACTGGCACAGTGTTAGACCGCTTCATATTCAGCTCATCTCCTTCGCGCCCCTCTGACTCCCCATGTCCAAGGTGTGGTGATCAATCAAAGGCCGAAGGTGTTATGTCATCATGCCTTGAATGTTTTCTTTATGGGGGTGAACTCTATCTTTTTCAGTATGGTGTCTCCCCAGGCCTATTTATTGCTAAAACTCGAGGAGGAACATGCACTCTTGCCCCTTCTGATCCACCGGAGCACGTCCTGCACCGTGCGGAATTTCTCCTTCAAAATGGTTTTGGGGTATACAACATTTTCAAGAACAACTGTGAGGATTTCGCTATCTACTGCAAGACCGGTTTGCTAGTCTTTACAAATATCAGTGTAGGTCGGAGTGGGCAGGCAACATCCTTTTTAGCTGCCACAACTGCTATTGTTTCATCACCACTGCGCTTTCTGACTACAAGCGTTTCTGGTCTAGCCGCTGTGGGTTATGGGGTTTACTGTGTCAGCCGGTTTGTTTCTGATATTGGAGTACGTCGTGATGTCACGAAGATCCCTGTTGAGAGACTTGTCGTATGCCCTGGTTCTCAAGAGTCTGAGC